GCTCTCCAGCCCTGTGCCTCTCCCTCACTCACCGTGTCTCAGACGCGCTGTGCTCTCCCGCCCTGCGGCCTCCCTCACTCACCTGTGGCCTCCCTCCCTCACTCACTGTGTCTCAGACGCGCTGCACTCTCCCGCCCTGCGGCGGCCTCCCTCACTCACTCACCGTGTCTCAGACACGCTCTGCTCTCCCGCCCTGCGGCCTCCCTCACTCACCTGTGGCCTCCCTCACTCATTGTGTCTCAGACGCACTGTGCTCTCCCGCCCTTCGGCCTCCCTCACTCACCGTGTCTCAGACGCGCTGCACTCTCCCGCCCTGCGGCCTCCCTCACTCACTCATTTTGTCTCAGATGAGCTGCTCTCTCCAGCCCTGCGGCCTCCCTCACTCACTCACCGTGTCTCAGACACGCTCTGCTCTCCCGCCCTGCGGCCCTCGCACAGGCTGTTCCCCTGTCCCAGCATGGCTGGTTGCACACCTCCGGGGACAGATAAACGCTCTTCTCTCCAAGGGCCCGGTCTGCCATAATCGCTCCCCCCGCCCCTCGTTCCCTGTGTCGTCCCCCCGTGTATTTCCTTCCCAGCGTTTGTCGGAATCTCTAGTTTGTGCTCTGCTTTCAGTGTGTTGTTGTCGGCTGCCAGCGAGTCGATTCCGACTCACAGCAACCCCGTGTTATAGAGTTTCTTTCCTGTGATCTTTACGGAAGCAGATCGTCTGGAATTTCTTCCTTGGAGCCGCTGGGTGGGTTCGAACCGCCAGCTTTTCGGTTAGCACCTGACTGCAAAACACTTTTACCACCAGGGCGCCTTGCTTTTTGGCCACTGGTGGGTTTATCTGTCTCCCCATCAGACAGAGGCTCCAGGGGCCATGCCCACCTTACTCACCTGGCACTCAGGATATATTGGGCCGAATGAGTGAATGAGTGAGTGAGGCTCTTTCATCCACTGTCCCTGCACCACCTCCCAGGTCTGCAGGCCCCTCAGCGGGCGTCCAGCTGACTCTCAGGACCCTGACCCTCGGGGGTGCTCATGAGCTGGCTGGGAGAAAAAGGCTGACATGCAGGAAATAGAGAAAAACTGAGGTCAGACCTGCCAGGCTGAGAGAAGAGCCGGAAGGGGCTCTGGGAGGCAGGAGTGGGGGGCTTCCTGCAGGGGGGCCAGGCGACGGCCATGGAGGGCTAGTGGTTCCCAGCTGCCCACAGGCTGTCTCCAGGGCTGAGGAGGTAGAAACAGATTCACGGGAATCCGAGGGCCCCTACCTCCCCCACCCCACCCCCCGCCTGGGCTTGGGTTCCAAGGAAAAAGTGCTCATGAGTCAGCCTTGCCACTTTGAGGGGAAGCTTCTAGAATGTGACAGTCCCACAGAAATGAGCCACCAGGTCTCTGATGTTGGCCGATACCAGCTGCCACCTCAGAGGCTCCCCCGAAAACAAAGCAGACGGGGCGGGCGGGGCGTCTCGGCAGGCCGCTGCGGGCACTGAGAGAAAGACAGGGCTCAGACGTCATCCATGGCCCCTGGACGGTCCAGTGCAGGCCACAGCCCCTGCAGCTCCTTAATGGGAGCAAGGACCCCGGGCACAGGGTGGGGGGGCGAGCAGGGGAGGGCTCAGGCCTGGGGTGGGGTGGAGGCTCCAGAGAGGTTGTGTTTCATTTGGAAGGGAGCCTGGTTCCTCCCTTTCCACATGGCCGGCCACCCCTAGAGCCCAGGAATGGACCGTCTAAAGCTAGGGGGCCACGCAAGACCAGCCATGTGGGCTAAGAGGATCAGGCCTTTCCCCAAAGTAGCCCTCATCCTGGGGTGGAGGGCACTCACGGGTCTCGTCCAGAGCCAGGCCCCCACCCACCATCTGGGCTTCCCCAGAGGACCCTGGGGCCCAGCCTCCCCTCTCACAGTTGACACTGCCCTGAGCAGCCACCCTCAGGACCCTGGGAGGGGAGCTGGCCAGAGGTGCCCCACATGGACCCCAGCCCCGTCCGCTCTGAGCCCTGAGCCTCTGGGAAGGCCACCAGCACCCGGGGTCTCCTGGGGAGGACAGAAAACAGCAGGCCTAGCCACAGCTGGGGTCTCGGGGTTCCCAGCATCCTGCCTGGACCTCATCTGCAAGGTTGTGCCCCCAGGTGTGACCAGGGTGACCTCCTGCTGGAGGGGAGAGGGAGCCAGATGGGCCCGCTGCTCCTTGCTGATGAGGTAACAGCACACCCCAGGGCTGGAGGAATGGGGATGGGCTTTGTAGGCAGTGAGGAGGATGTGGCAAGCTGCCGGCCCTCTCGGGGGTCTCCTCTCCCCACCATGGGGCAGTGAGGAGGGGCGATCCCCGTCCAGCACCTTTCAGTCCCCAGCTGGATACGGGGCAGGGGCATTGCAAGGGGGAGAGAGCAGGGTCTGCTTAGGATTTTGGGTGCCTGCTATGTGCATGGCTCAGAGTGAAGCCCAGTGCCCTCACCCAGACCAGCCTGCCTGTCCCTGGGAGAAGAAGGAAGGATTCCGTGGGCCCCTAGCCCACTGCCCCCAGGTGGAAGCAGCCTCCTCCCAGGCTCCTCCACGCTCCTTCCTGGACTCCCAAGGCTACGAGGACCCTCACCCCGCCCACCCACCCCAGGCCAGCTGGGGCAGGAGCAGTGGAGGAGGGCTCCCATGCCCCTTCTCCACTGAGTGAAACAGGAAGGGGGTAATTGAATCAGCACTTCTCGCCCCATCTGGAACATTCCAACATGGAAAACCCATGCAGCAGCTGGGGAAGCAATTGAGGGACTTTAATTAAAGGCTGATGACTCTCCCAAGGAGCCCCCCTCCGAATGCACAGCCGTCAGACCCACATCTGCCCACAGTGCGTTGTGAGGCACAGCTGGGTACCTGGCAGAGCGTTGGCAGTCAGGCCGAGTGTCCACTGGGGGAGGGGCAGAACGCTCCCAGTCACCCTTTCTCCTTCGAGACAGCCAGTGCCCCCCGTCCCCTGCTCTGCACCCAGAAAGGCCCCAAGGAATGGAGAAGTGGGTCACATCCATGGGCTCGGGGAAGGGTTCTAAGTTGTAGGGAGAAAATTAAGACGGCCCAGAGTGAGAGCATCTCCACCTCAGCCTGACCCTTCTGCCAGGAAAGGCATCCCAGGCAGCGGGAACAGCATGTGCAAAGGCCCTGAGGTCGGAGCGCGCCCAGCCAGTGGAAGGAGCTGAACAGGGGCCAGTGTGGCTGCAGTCGGGGTGAGGGGAGTTGGCTAGATGGGAGACAAGCCTGAAATGTTTCCTTCAGGCATCTGGTCTTCATCCTGAAAGCATCAAGGGCAGGATAAGAGGACTGGAGCATTTTAAAATAATGGGATCTAGTTCATCTGAAATCACGCCTCCAGCTGCCATGCGGAGAACTCATCGTAGGGGACAGAAGAGGTGCTGGAAGGATGAGGAGGATGCTGCAGCCGTCCAGGCACGAGAGGGTAGAAGTTTAGACAAGGGCAGTGCCTGGGGACATGGGAAGGAGAAGCACGTGTGGCCCAGGCTGGGGACTCCGCCAGGGGCAGGGGCTGTCCTGCCTTCCCTCACCCCACTGCCCAGGGCAGGTTGCCGGGAACTAGGGGCTGTGGGCGCCACCTATGCCAAGTTCCTAAAGCGAGGCATGGGGCAGGGCAGGGGCAGGCCTCCAAATAACCCAGCCCGGTGCCCGCAGCACCGCAGACATTCAGCGGAGAGCGTGTCCTTCGTCCACCTTGCCCGCCTTATCGTTCCTTCTAACCGGCCGAGCCCCTCACCGCATCAAAGCTCTAGTCGGGGTACATCTCACCCACATCTGTGCCACATCTGCCCACCACGTTTCCACTGCAGTCTCGGGGGTGCTGGGAGGGGAGCCTGGAAGAGCCCCAGCCCTGCCCTAGCCTGGCTGGGCAGGTGGGGCCTGGCAACAGTGCCAGGGCCCCTCCCAGCAGCTCTAGATCCACATCCACTGGGCCCAGACACTACAGGAGAAAGGGCGGGTCTGGGGCAGCTGGAGACAGACCCCACCCCACCCCAATGCACAGAGCCTCTTCTCAGCACATCCACCTCAGCTGACTGGGGTCACGGGACAAGGGACAAGGTCAGTGGCCACAGAGCCTTGACTAAGGCTGAACCTGTGACTGACCGACTGGCCCACCCCTGAGACCCCTCCCTCCCTCTGTCCTGGCCGAGGGCAGGGAGCCGTTCAGAGTGGCTCAGAGGTAGAAATGCACATCAAGGCCACCGCCTGGCCGTGGACCTGAGGGGAAGCCCAGGGGCCACCGTCAGGGCAGCTGGTGGGCACCTGGCAGGGGTGAGGGGCTGAGAGGGCCCGCTTCTTGCCGGTGGAGGCAGGCTGGGCAGCCAGCCTGCCCAGGAGTCTGGCCCAGCTCGTTCAGAGCTGAGAGAAGAGCTGGGCTGCAGATGGATGTCCGTTCCAGTCTGTCCCTGGAGGGAGCCGCCGTAAACACAGCCAAACTGGGGCAGCCAGGGCCTGGGGTGGGTGCTGGCCGCAGACCGGGTGGGGCAGGGCTCTGCTAGGAACCGCTTGGAGAAGAACCCCGGATACACACAGGGTCACTTCACACAAACTGGCACAAGTGGGCGTCCACTGTGCACTGTCATTGGTGGTGTTGGGTGCTGTCCAGGCGATTCCGGCTCACAGCGGCCCCATGGGACAGAGTAAAGCTGCTCCATAGGTCTCCTAGGCTGTAATCTTTGTGGGAGCAGTTTGCCAGGTCTTTCTCCCTTGGAGCGCTGGGTGGGTTTGAATTGCCGACCTTTCGGTTAGCGCCACCCAGGCTCCTTCCACGGTGGGTTTTGAACAGCGCCTTGCAATGATTCACGCGCCCTAGGGTGGGCTGGCTTGATTACGCCCTGGCCAGCGCACTCCCACCCCACTGCCCAGCCTTCCAGGCCGTGTGGAAGAATACCAACGCAACCTTTATTCCTTAAATACTTCACATAAACGCAGCATACTCTGGCCAGTGCACAGACATAAATTAAGGTTCCTGGGGTCCCCAGGCGGGGTGTGGGGCCGGTCAGTCCCAGCCGAAGTCCTGGCCGGTCATCTGGTAGAACTTGCGGTTGAAGGGCCGGTAGAAGTCACGAAGGCGCTGGACCACAGCCTCGGGCACTCGGGGGTGGGGCCGGCCCTTGGACTTGCCCAGGCAGCGGGGCCGGCTGCCCCCCTCGGCCTTCTTGAGGCAGGGGAAGCCCTTGGTGGCATTGAAGTAGAAGTGCTTGTCTGTGACGACCCGCTTGAGGCCCAGGAAGTCCTGCACACGGCCCACCTCCCCGGCAGGGTCACTGACCAGTCGCTCGCCGCTGACGAACAGGAAGTGAGACAGAGGGAAGTACTGCAGCCAGTGGGCCAGGTGCTGGGCGTAGAGGCCGATGCGCACGGCGCTCCAAGCTGTGTCCACGGGGCCCAGGCCATGGCGGAAGGCCAGGGTGCGGAAGCTGGGCAGGCCCGGGGTCTTGGAGAGAGTCTGGGCGTAGTCGGAGATGGCCCGCGTCACGGGGTCGCGCACCACCACGATCAGCTTCGTGTCCGGAGACATGCTGTGGATACGGTGGGGAGCCTCGCGTGTCACGAAGTAGCTGGGGGTCTTCTCCATGGTGATCTGCCCCTCCAGCGTGCGCGGCATCAGGCTCCTGCAGGAATAGAGGCAGCATGAGAGGACACTTCCCCGAGCCCCCCGAGCCCAGAATGGGCGTGGGGACCCGAGACTAGCCCCCTCTTTCTGCAGGTGGGAGTCCCTGGGTGGTGCAAATGGACTCCAATGCTGACCGAAAGGCTAGAGGTTCAAGTCCACTCAGAGATACCTCAGAAGAAAGGCCTGGCAATCTGCTTCCGAACAATCGGCCATTGAAAACCCTTTGGAGCGCTGCTCTACTCTGACACACCTGGGGTTGCTGTAGCCACAGTCGACTCAACGGCAACCGGTTCTTCAGGTGGGGGAGCCCCCCTCTCCCCGCAGGCCCACCTGTCCTAACTCTTGGGTGGCACCCTGGGAACAAGCTGCCTTGTTCACTGCTGCTCCAGGGATAACAGGGTGATGGTCCCCGGGGGGCCCAAGACCCTCTTCACCAGGTCATCTGTCTTCCTGAAAAATCTCTGCCACCCCTGCCCCAAATGCCAGCCCCCCGAGTCCCAGCAATCCCCACCTGCCAGACCCACCCCCAACCAGATCTAGACTGCACCCAGCCCTGACCTCGCACCGTCGGACCCCCGTCCCCAAGTTCCACAGGGCTGGCCTGGGCTTGCCACCCACAGGCTCCACCTGACCCTCCCCACCCACAAGTCTCAGTGCTCTAATTACTCAAGGTCACACTTTGATTATGGGGCTGACGGCGTCCCCTAACATTGACAAGTCCCCCCACAGAGGGCAGCCCCCTCCTCTCCTGTCTTTAATTACAGCCCCACCAACCCTCACTGAAGCAGCCCTGGTGGCACAGCAGTTAAGTGCTCGGCTACTACCTAAAGACTGGCAATTTGAACCCAGCCAGCAGCTCCACAGGAGAAAACACCTGGCAGTCTGCTTCTGTAAAGATTACAGCCTAGGACACCCCATGGGGCAGTTCTACTCTGTCCTATAGGATCGCTATGAATGACTCAATCACAATGGGTTTCCTTTTTTTTAACCCTCACTGACCTGGGTCCAGACCCGGGCCTGCCACCAGCAAAGCGCAGCACATTCTAGAAAAGCTAAGGAACACCTTGGAGGGGCCCCAGGTGCCAAGTTCCACTTCCGGTGATGGGGGTGGGGTGCTGAGTCAATCCCAAGAATCAGGGATCCCCAATCCCCTGACCCCAACCTGGGGAAGGGGAGCCAGGCTCAATGCTGAGTGCCCGGGGGGCAGCTCCTGCCGGCCAGGTAGTGTGAGGTGAAGAGGGCGGGGCGAGGCGGGTGCGCCAGGGCCCAGCTGTGCAAACAGCACCCAGGGAGAGAGGGATGGGAACTAGGTCAAGAGAGACAGAGGCTGGCTCGACCTGTGCCAGGGAGGGGACACCCTGCCCGACCCCGCCCAGTCCTCTCGGTCCCAGGCCTGGCCCCAGCCCACAGGACGAGGCAGGGTGCAGATTCCAGCCCACCTAAGTGCCCTCCAGCCCTGGGAGGCAGGGCCTGAGGCTCCTCTGCCCGCTCAAACCCCCTGAACCTCTGGCCAGGCCAAACAGACCTTCGCCTCAGGGTGCTTGGCCTGGAGGTGCTGGCCATGTGACAGGGAGGAGACGTGTGGCAAGAGGGACCCCTGAAAGCACTGACGGCTCTCCAGCCCCCCCACCATGGGCACTGCAGAGGAGAGGCGGGCAGCACAGCCTGGTGGCTGTCAGATGCTGCCCCCCACCTCCCCAATGAGGCTCTGGGCAGGGCTGGTCTGCAGAAGTCACGGGCAACAATCTATGTCCCCATCTCGGTGACAGCTGGCCACAGCCTTCCACCACCACTCACACCCCATTGGACAGGCAAGCACACTGAGGCTCAGAGAGGGAGGGGACCTGCTGAGGGGGACAGGTGGCCCACAGCCCCTCCCCCTCCATCCGGGCCCATCTGGAAGCTGCCACCTTGGAAGACCGAACCAGGTGCCCGCACCTCCACCCCACCTCCTGCAGCTGGGAAATCCAGGTGGAGCAGCACCCACCCTCCCCACCCTCTCCCCAGAGGCCTCAGGGCTCCGCAGCACCAGGCCTGAGGCCCAAGTGGGATTGTAGCCTGGGTGGCCAGACCAGGGACCTCTCTCTCCACTGGAGACCCACAAAGAGAAGGGGTGTGGGGACAGACCAACAGCCAGTTCTCACCAGGAGCACCATCCATCCCACCTCTTCCAGGGACCCTAAATGCTTCCACCTTGGACACACCCCTTTCCAGGCACCAACTGACACCAGGGCCCCCCCTTCCCTGTCCCAGACTAGCCAAGTCCGGTTCTGAATACACCCCGCCCCTTGGCTGCTGCTCCAGGAGGGGGCGCTCCAAGAAGCATGGCAAGAGTTAAAGGGAAGTTAGCACACCGTGTTAGCACCCCACAGATGTGTCCTCTCCAAGGAAGTCAGAGGGGCACAGAGAACAAGGGGGAGGTGCTGGGACCCCCTGCTGTGGGTGGGGGAGGGAACAGGACTTCCAGGCCCCCTCTTGACACAAACCCCCTCCAAGGAGGTCTGAGATCGAGCTCAGTGATTTACCCTGTGCGGCCAGGGCACGGAGGGTGCGGATAGGCTTTGGGGGGACGGCATGGGGGAGGATGAGACCCAGGACTCTGACCCCCACGCAGCAAACATCTGACAGACCCTCCCGCTGCGCCCACCCCATCTGGTCGGCATTTCCCTGCGGTTTCCATCCAGCCCTGGGCATCTCTCCCGCCTCCTCTCGGCTCCCTCCACACCTCCCCTGGGCCTGATCCAGCGGCCTGGGACCCATCAGAAGGCAGTGATTGCTCCTATGCTGGTGCCAGAAAGGGCCTGGGGGCCATCCCATTCCCAGCATCTCCTCAGGGTTAGCAGTAAGGAGGGGTCCTGCCCCCCACATACTCAGGCCCCCACTCCCCGTATTCACTGGTCTTGTGCCCTAGGGACCAAGAGGGTTCTCCTGCCTGCACCCCTCCCTGCCTCCTCTTGCTTTTCCAAAATATTATAGTTCGAGTATAGTGCGAATCCTGCCTCCAGAAGTTACAATATAGCCCCCATCCAGACCGAGACCTCGGGGTGTTTGTGACCCCAGACCTGGCACACAGGAGGGGTTCAATGAGTGAATGGGTGAGCAAATGGTGTCTGAGTTCGGGCGGGGGGTGGTCTGGGAGGCGCGATGCCCTAGATGGACCCAGCAGAGATGGGCAAACGGGGTAGGGAAGGTTTGGCCAAGGTCTACTCTGAGCGTCTCAGGCCACGAGCCAAGGCCACAGAAAGGCTGCTCATTCCCCAGCAGGGGCAGGTGTCCCAGAAACTCAAGTTGGGGGCAGTGGCTGCTCCTCCCCTACAATCTCCCGCAACCAGCACCCAGAGGGCTCCGCACCCGCTGGAGGCTCCATCCAGGGATAGAGCAGGTGGTGCCGCCAGACTCTGCCCCAGGGTAGGCAGCCCTTCTTGCAGCCGGGGGAACTGAGGCAGGCTGGGGCATTTCCAAAGGCTGGCTAGAAGGACAGTGGAGGCCCAGGGCAGTCTCTCTGAGGGCACTCGGGCACACACACCCCAGAGCCCAGCCAGGCCTGCTGGCCAGTCCCAGGGGACACCAGGGTGAGGTGGAGGCTGCCCCAGGACCTGATCCTTCTGCATTCTCTGCCTCCCCCTCCCCCGCAGTACAGATGGGTTCTAAAAATGCTGGAAAAAAACCGCTTCTCTACGTTCTCCTGAACTTCCACCTCCCCCAGGGCTCAGGATCTGAACCCCCGATCTGGGCCTGGCCCTGGCTGCCTCCAGGCCCCTCATCCTACTCGGGCCCCTCCCCCAGAGCTGAGGCTGGCAACTGGAGGTCTGGACAGAGCCTCAGTATCCCCTCAGAGAGAACCCTCTGAGGACCGGCCTCACCCAGCGTGAGCCTCCCCTTGCAATCCCTCCTTAGCTAAGCTCCTTGCAGCCAAGTTCAGGGCCTCATGGCGGCTCCAGGTTTGCACTCCAGGTGATGCTGTGTCCTCAACCCTCCCTGCCTCTTTCTCCAGCAGCAGTGAGGGATTAGGGATGCTGTCCGAACGCCTGCCTGCCTGAGGGGCAGGCCAGCAGTCTCTTGCTGGGGCCTGAGCTTCAAGGACGCGCTGCTTCAGCCAGGATGGGTGCATCTCCCCTCTCCCCACTTCCCTGGCACACCCTGGCAGGAGCAACCCTTCAGGAGCCAGGATCCCCTCTTCTCTTCAAGGTCCTGCCTTTTCTCCAGACCCAGGAGTGGTTTCATGTAAAAGGCCAAGATATAGATGGGAAGCGCCCAGGGAGGGTGTAAGAGGACCCGGGACAGGGACACTGGGGCACCCCCATCATTCAGCAGGTGGCCTTGGGCAGGATCTCGTCTGGGATGAGGGGGCTGCAGGGAGGGTGACTCACTCTCCATCTGCGGACCCTCATTGCCCGCAGGAGGGGGCAGGGCCTCCCTCTCCAGGCCTTCTGCGAACCTCAGCGGGGAGGGCCCAGGGTCTGACCGCAGGGGCTGGGTGCACGCCACATTCCACTGCACCCCAAGGCCATCCTGGGTGGGGGGCAGCGCGGCCCCAGAGCCCCAAGGCATGAGGCCTGGGTCGCCATCCCACCCCTGGCACTGGCCCAAAGGCAGCTTCCTTCTTTCTAAGGTCCAGACTTCCTCCAGCCCACCAGGACCACCCGAAAGGCTCCTCTGCCCCGGGGCCAGGATCTCGGGAGGGACGGCACTTCCTGGGAGGCGACCAAGAACCCGGAGGCCCCTTCCTTGGGTAACTGGTCCCACGCGCCCCCGCCCCCCAACCCAGAGTGGGGCAGCGGAGGAAGGGTAACTGGGCACGACTCATTTCCACCGCTGTCCACCCGCCCCGGGCTCGGAAAGACTTCCCGGGCCGGGACCGCACCGCGCCGCCCGCCCCAGCCTTGCTCAGACACCTCAGCAGCCCCGAACGAAAAGCTTTCCTCCAGTTTTCAGTTTCAGGGACCCCGGCGGAAAACTGTCGCTCCTTTCCATAAAGCCCGTGACCCCCCCACCCAGGCTGGTCATGGCGACAATGCCCAGAGACCCGGGCCTGCCGCGGCCGCAGCGAGGCGCCGGGCGCACTAGGCCGAGCCGACCTGGGAGCGGCGCAGAGGGCGGCGGGCGGGCGGAGCGGGCGCTCACCGGTACCAAGCGAGGCCTCGCGCGTAGCACCTGTCGAAGAAGTGGGGCTCGGAGCCGAGCGCACGCACGTCGGGGTGCAGCCGTAGGAACTCGAGCAGCGCGCGCGTGCCTCCCTTCTTCACGCCCACGATGAGCGCCTGCGGGAAGCGCCGACGGCCGTGGCCGCTGGCCACCGGCAGGCTGGGCGCCACCGGGCGGCGGACGGCG